TATTTTTGCTGACTGTTCATCGAGAAATTCCAGGAAAATTCAAGGAAGAGATTAAAGGCAGTTTGTAGCGATGGGGAGAGGGGGGTGGTAATAGAGAAAAATAGGGGATGAATTGTATAGCATTCCTTTTATGTGGTTTTGTCCATCTGCCATCTTGGCTTGTCGAAGCATTTGGCACGCTTCAATTTTGCTTTGGATGGCGAAAACAAATGATCCCTTCATATATGTAGAGTCATTTCTTTTTCCTCCCCAAGGGGCGAATATACAGGTGCCAAAACGATCGGCCATCATTGTTTAATGTCTTATTTTGTTAGCAGTTGCAGTTTTTCTTTTTTTTTTTTTTTTTGTTTCGGTCGTCAACCCTCCCTGTACAAAATTACATCTTCTATAATAACTGACGCGCGGGGGAACAGAATCATTTTTCCGCATCATTTGCTCTCATTCACCCTAGCAATTAAATGGAATGAAAAAAGGTTCCGATTTCTTCCAGATTGTTGCTTTTGATTTCGGTGGGGGAATTTTTATTTATTATTTTCTCTATTTGACAAATGCTTCTTTGAATTTTTTGTTTTACTTTCATTTTTATTTATTTTATTATATTTTTTTCATTTTTATTTATTTTTTATTTATTTTTACTTATTTAATAATATTTTGCTATTATTTACACTATTTTTTTGGTATTTGCCTTAAAAAAGTAGGCGTGGCTTGCTATCCCCTCTCCTGAATTGCGAGGAGTGGCAAAAAAGAGCAACGCCCACTTTAATTGCGCGAAAGTAGGCGTGGCTTACTATCCCCACCTTCTGAATCGCAAGGAGTGTCGAGAAAGCGTAACGCCCACTGAACTTGCGCGCGCAGCGAAAGTAGGCGTGGCTTACTGTCCCCACTCCCGAATGCTTGGAGTGGCCAGAAAGTGTACCGCCCACTGTAAAATTTTTATTATTTTACAATATTAGCTTTTAATAAAAAATTAATAGTCTTTTAGAAAAGCAATTAATAATATTGTTATTATTATTATTGTTGTTATTATTAATATTGTTTACCAAAAAAAAAAAATCATTTAAAAATAATAATTTTTTTTGTTTCTAAAAGAGAGTTTTCTTTTCGTCATCTTTTTTGGAAGAAAAATAAAAGTTTTATTGTTCTTATCGTAATAAATATCAAAAAAAGAAAGTTTTCAGAAAGAGTCAAAAAATTTTCTTTTCTTTTTATTCGTAATACCATCGAGACGAGAAAAACAAGAAGGAAAGAGAGATATATAGATAAAAGCGCGAGGAAAGCACTTGAATAAGTCGTTGTACAAGGATCTCTAAAGTCCTTGAGAAGCCTCGGGTTTTTTGCCCATAGCCCATTGGTTTATAACTTGCTGTGAGAAAGTTTTGCTGAAGATGTAGAAGAAGAGCTTTTGGCTTCACTCATTCTCTGCATCATCATCGAATTTGTCGTCGTCATAGTCTCTCTCACTCTCTGTTTTTTCAAGTGCTGTCGGCAAACGACAGTGCTCGCGCCCAAGACAATGATAATTAAGCTCTCACTTCGCAAAAAGTAAAGTTTCTCATACCATTTGCGAATAGACAATGAGAGAAATATAGAGAGTTCAATTGTTCCTAGTTCGCCACTATGGAATTATTTGAATTACCCGAAAAGAAAAAACCCTCCAGGGGATTGTTTGTAATAATTTTCTTTCTATACATATTTTATTTTTATTTGGGAAAAAATTGACAAGATTTTTAGTGGTATTTTAATGTTATTACATATAAATTAATTGTAATTATAAATTAAATTATAAATTAATTAATTGCTTTCTATCTTATTATATTTTATTTTCACTATATTCTATTGAATTTCCCTTGAATTGTGGGCAAAAGGGGCGTGGCCAAAGCGAATCGTCGCGAAGGACACGCCCCTCGAGCGTGCCCTCTATGATGATTCGCTTCGGCCACGCCTCTTTTTCCCCCACCTGGCAGATCTTACGCAAAACTAAAGGGGCGTGTCCAGCACAACTATTTGACCCTTTCTCCCTTCTTTTCTCGCTCTAGTTACGCCCCTATTCTCTCTCTTTAAATGCGCCGCCCAGACGGAAACTAAAGGGGCGTGTTGTCCTTCGCCACGCCTTTATCCCTTCTTTTCACTTTCGCCACGCCCCAACCCCTTCTTTTTGTAACGAGGGAAAAGGATGCGCTCCTTCCAGGCGCAGCATAAAGAGGCGTGTTTTTGAAAACGCTCCGCCTTTATCCCCTCCCTTCGCTCAAGAAGGCGTGGCGAAAGCCAATAGGAGGAACCTTCTTACCCAGTTTTTTTAATTAAGGGGCGTAACCACTGATAAGATCAACGGTGATGAGGCGTGGTGGGTAACAATGCCACGCCTCTTTTCCCTCTCTCTCCGCCTGCCTCTCTAATGGAATTTAAATAAATTCCATTAGCAATTTTTTTAACGATAGGGAGAAAAAAAATTTTTTATTCTCCCTGTCGTTAAAAAAATTCTCAACTACATGACAATCGTAATTAATGACAAACTTATTTGTTTGTTTTTTGTCAGCGTGGAGAACGAAAAATGTCTCTATGAAAAATAATCCCGTCGAATCTAGGACGTGAATAATTAATGAGTATACATTTGAGTGTCTATTTTTGCTCTGCGCTTTCTAATGAAGACACTTGGGCGTCTCTTTTATGGAAGAGAGCAAAAAAAAAAATTTCTTTTTTTTCCATTTCTGGTCCAGGCTTTTTTTCTTTTCTTAAACTTATAATTTTGTATAAACTTTTGAGACACCCCTTCGTTATAAGACCGATAATTATTTTTTTCCTTGGTATTTATTATTATTATTTGTCATTCTTATTATTATTTTATTTTGTACGAAAAAGAAGAGATTAAATTAAATAAGGGTACAGGGGGTGAGGGGGGGGAGGTAAATTAAAAAAAAAAATTAAACGTCTCTTAATTTTTTTTATACTCAAAGGAGGGGGGGATTTCAAAAATTAAAAAGAAATTTCTTCCTTTTTTTGGGGAATTGACTACGATAATAAATTGCTTGATTGTTAGCAGCATTGTTGGTTATTATAATATTATACAAAATATAAATTTATATGTGTGAGGTTGTTGCCAAACTAGTAATAAATTGAATTACACTCACAGTTCTTCGTCTCTCGTGTTCGCGTTTTCTTCTACCTTCTCCTTCCTTTCATCCTTCCTTGTGGCGTTTCCCCGACTTTCTAGACGCATCCTTTCAGCTGGATTTCATTAGACGAGATGGCTCTTCAGCTTTTAGGGAGATTCGATTATGCACTCGCGCTCGACTACTTTACGAACCCACTTAAAAAGTCTTTCTTGTAATGTGGCTTCTCCTTCTTCTTCTCCTTCTTATTTTTCATCTTTTTTTTTTTATTTTTTCTTCTCTTTTTTGTAAATTCAAGATCCTTAGACCACTCGACAAGTTTTCTCTTCAATCTTTCAAGAAGTCATCTATATCCTGGTTTATACCATAAAAATCCAAATTGAGAGTAAAAAAAAAAGGAGAATTCAATGAAATTTGATATGAAAAAAATTTACTTTTTTCCTTTCAATAGAAAATTATAATTTTACCTTTAAATTCAAAATTTCTTCTTTTGATAATATAACAAATTTTCTGTGTTAATAAAAAATATTAGATTTTTTTGCTTTAACAAAAGCAGTTAGGATACGAAACAAAAATTTGGTCCCGTGTTCAAAAATTGTCCATTACGTGAAAATTTTGAAAAAAGTGGGGGTAAAGACTCAAAAAATATTTATTTTAGAATTTTTGACTTCGGAGTCGTTTTTAGTGTATTTTTATCCACCAAACACAATTCCGAAGTCAAAAATTGTCCATTAGGTCAAAATTTTGAGAAAAGTGGGGGTAATGACTCAAATAAATTCATTTTTGGTATTTTGGACTTTGGAGTCGTTTCGAATGTATTTTTGTCCAATAAACACAATTCCGAAGTCAAAGATTGTCCATTAAGTCAAAATTTTGAAAAAAGTGGGGGTAAAGACTCAAAAAAAATGTTTTTTTGGTATTTTTGACTTCAGAGTCGTTTTCAAAGTATTTTTGTCCAATAAACACAATTCCGAAGTCAAAGATTGTCCTTTAGGTCAAAATTTTGAAAAAGGGGGGGGGTAAAAACTCAAAAAAAATATTTTTTGGTATATTTGACTTCGGAGTCATTTTCAATGTATTTTTGTCCACTAAACACAATTCCAAAGTCAAAAATTGTTCATTAGGTCAAAATTTTGAGAAAAGTGGGGGTAAAGACTCAAAAAATGTTTTATTTTAGAATTTTTGACTTCGGAATCGTTTTTAGTGTATTTTTATCCACCAAACACAATTCCGAAGTCAAAAATTGTCCATTAGGTCAAAATTTTGAAAAAAGTGGGGGTAAAAACTCAAAAAAAAATGTTTTTTTGGTATTTTTGACTTCGGAGTCATTTTCAATGTATTTTTGTCCACTAAACTCAATTCCAAAGTCAAAAATTGTTCATTAGGTCAAAATTTTGAGAAAAGTGGGGGTAAAGGCTCAAAAAATTTGTTATTTTGGAATTTTTGACTTCGGAGTCGTTTTCAATGTATTTTTGTCCACTGAACACGATGCCAGACTCAAAAATTGTACATTACATCAGAATTTTGAAAAAAGTGGGGGTAAAAACTAAAAAAAATAGTTTTTTTGTATTTTTGACTTCGGAGTCGTTTTCAGTGTATTTTTATCCTCTGAACACGACGCCGGGGTCAAAAATCGACTATCACGTCAAAATTGAAAAAAAACTAGGAAACGTCTTTTTTCGAGGAATTATATTAAAATAATACAAACGCCATATTTTTTAGGTAAAAATATAATAAAATATAATAAAATTCCCAATAAAAATAATTTCTTCACTAAAAATAATACAAATTCCCCAATAAAAATAAAATGAGAATTAAAGAAAAAATACAAAAAAGAAAATCTCAAATAAAATTAATTAACAAAAAAATTTCTTTTTCCTTTTGTTTCAGAATTACTGAAGTGGTGCGATACGAGATAGAAGAGAGATAAGTGTTAGTGAAAGTGATTGTGTTTTGTTAGTGGATATAAGAATAAAAAAAAAATGAGGCATCCTCATTGAAGGAGTGTCCTTAAAAAAGGGTGGTAGATGCGTGCACGCGTCAAGAGGACGTGTGTTCGCCGTCGTGGCACAGGACGAGGGAGCGAACTCGATCTCGTGAACGGGGTCTAGATTATAGTGATGAGGAGGAGAGAGTGAGGTAGGGGGTGAGAGCCTCGAGCGATCGAGTGGGACCGGCCAAAGGAGTGCCGGTTTAGAGGGCTTTACAATTTTTAGAATTAGCCCCCATCAATATGGCGGGCGCAGGCCTATTCTTCAGCACCTGTGTCACCGCCCACATTCTATTGCTTCTCCTATTTAATCAGCGTCCAACATTTGCCGAACAAGGTAAGAGAGAGAAAAATTAATTCATTATTACTATTTTATTTTGTTAATAATTATTACTCAAGAAAAAGTAATTTTCCTCAAATAATATTATTCCTCTGAAAATGATTCATTCTATTATAATTATTACACTGAGAATTATTTTTCTCAATAATTATTACACTAAAAATTATTTTTTTCTAATAATTACTACTCCTAGAATTATTTTTTCTAATAAATTTTTGACAATAAAGAAAAAAAATAGAGGGGATAGCGCACTGACTGCGCGCGCAGCGAAAGTGGGCGTGGTTTACTGTTCCTACTCCGGAGAAGCGTCGCGCGCAGCAAAAGTAGGCGTGGCTTACTGTCCCCACTCCTCAAAAGCGACGCGCGCAGCAAAAGTGGGCGTGGCCCACTATCCCCACTCCTCGAATCGACGTCGAATAAAAAGCTCTGCAATTATACTCTATAATTATATAATTACAATAATTTACATAATACGAAAGAATTTAAAAAATTATTCTCATTCGAAAAAAATAAAAATGCGTATTCTCTTTAAAAAATCTCAATAATTTAGAGTCGAAAGAAAAAATTATGCGCAGTATTCGTCTTTTAATAAAATTCCGAAAGGAGTCCGAGTTTGATTTAATTTCGAATCTTAAGACGACTTTTAAAAATTCTTTTTTTTCTTGGGGGGGGGGATTATCGTTGTTTTCCATATATTTTTTAAAAAGACGAAAAAAAATTCAATGATGATTCAAGCCTGGGGGGTTTTTGTTGGTTTTAATGGCAAAAAAGAAGTTGACTATGTATTTTTTTTTGCTCTCGAATTCTCCATTTTCGTGTAGATTCTGATAATTTTCTAAATGCGGCCAATCTTTGAAATTAAGGGTTTGCGCTTGGAATTAAAAGTCCATTGGTTAAATGCGAGCCCATCAGAGATGGATGAGAAAGAGGGGGGGGGGGTCGAAACAAGTCCAGAAATCATAAGTTTTTATGACTAACTTTTTTTAATAGAAAACTAAATTTTTATTAATGTATTTCAAATTAAAATTATAATATTAATATTATATTCTTAATATTAATATTATATTCTTAATATTATTATTATTATTCTACAAATTAATTATTATAATTAATTTTAAAATATTAATTATATTTATTATTATTATTTTTTACTTTAAAAAAAAAAATTCTTTTTGTCAAAATCTTGCAATTTTAATGGCTGAAGTTTTTGTGGTTCTTTTATATTATTTAATAAGAGAGAAAGAGAGAGGGGGTGGGGCGCCCTTAATATTAATTATTATTATTATTATTTACTTTAAAAAAAAAAATTCTTTTTGTCAAAATTTTGCAAATTAATTGCCTGGAATATTTGTGGTTTTTTAAAACTTATTTAAAAAAAGAGAGAAAGAGTGGGTGGGGCGCCTGTAATTACACATAGAGCGCATCATAGAAATGTAAAAAATAAACTTAAAGCTAAATTTTACTAAGGCTTTGAATTCTTGTCTGCTTTTCATCTTCCATTTGTGGAAAGTGGGGCGCACTTGCTTGATATTCGAAGAAAATCTTCCCCCCCCCCCTCTTCACCCCCTCTCCATCCTTTTTACTCCAAGTCAATGCGCGGAAAGGGCACTTTCTTTGATTGCTCATTCTCTCAATTCTCTTTCTCTTCTTTTTTTTTCTTATTTTTCCTTTCTGTTTATTTCATCGTGAGTAAAAAACGATTTGAATTTCAAATTTTTCAAATTAGATTAAAATAGGAAAAACAATTTTTAAGTAATTATACAGAAATAAATTATTGTTCAAATAATTAATATTATTTATAATTATTATAGGGTAATTTTTTTACTCACTTTTTGGTGTGTTATAATTATGCGGTGACAATTTTTATTTATATTTATTTTTTATTATTATATTTGGTAAATATTTATTAAAATTATTATTATTTTTATTATTAATATTATTATTATTAACAACTATTAAAATTATTTTTTTTCTGTATTTTTGTTTATAACAATTATTGTAACCATTTTTATTGTTTTTCAATTTTTTTTAAATTAATTTTATTTATTTACAACTATTATAATTAATTTCGTTGTTGTATTTTTGTTTATAACAATTAACAAAAGAAAAATTATTTTTTAAACTTTTTGATATATTTTTGAAACAAAAATTGTTTTACATACTTAGTATTGCGTAAATTTTATGTCTGCTTCATTTTTCCTCCCTAACAGTTGTTATAAACAAATTATATAAACAATTACACCTTAGGTATAAAGATATGTCTAAGAAGAATTTTTTTTCTTATAAATATAACTTTAGCTTATTGCAATAAAACTTTCTTTGTATGAAACTGATGTTTTTCGATAATTTTCTTATTTAATTATTTCAACAAATTTTAATAAACAATTGAATCGTACGGACATTTTTGAACACAAAAATATCAAATTTTTTGCAATTAATGTTTTTCTAAGCCGACCTTTTTCTTATGAAAAAGTTATTTTGCAAATAATTTTATTATTTTAATAAACAAATTACATAAACAATTACACTTTAGGCAAAATTGTGTAGAATCCGAAAAAAATACAATCATAAAAAAAAAGAAGTTCTGTTTAGATAATAATCAAAACTGTAAATGTTTGTTAAATAAAAATTAATGAATTAAAATCAAATACAAATAATATAAAAATTAATGAAAATACAGAAATAGAAATGAATAAAAATCGAGCTAAAAATAAATAAAGCAGTAAAAATAATTAAATATTCAGTAAATTCTTCCACAATTATTTAATAAATTAATTTTTTCGATTTTTGGAAGACGTAACGTCGTCTATTTTATAAAAAAAGTAAAAGAGTATTTTTCTTTAACTTTTAATATTACGTCTTCCAAAAATCGAAAAAATTAATTTAGTAAAAATAATTTTTAAAAAAAATAGAGAAATAGAAATGAATAAAAATAAAGAAATTGAAATGAATTAAAGTAAAAATAAATAGAATTTGTTAAATATGAAAAGAGAGAGAGAGAGAGAGAGAGAGAGAGATGAAAAATTGCCGATGGATAAAAATGCTTAAACGCATCTGATGACCTCGACTCGAAAAAAGCATCTCGGTGTGACCAAATTCCCTGTTGGATTCGAAAGAGAGAACCAGGCGTAAACTCGATTGGCCTCTACAAAATGGTTCAGAGTCATGGCGAGTCTCTCTCTCTCTCTCTTTCGCTCTTGTGCGAATTTTTATCCCCCCCTCCTTCTCTCTCTCATTTCGCTCTCAGTCCGTCGTCGACAGTGAGTAAGACAGAGTAAGAAATACGGCAACGCCGCAGGAATGCCCCGACCAACCCATCGCACCGAGCGAGTGCATACCTGTACAATCCACTATACACTCCACCAGAGAGCTCTAGACCTGGAAGTCTCTCGCAGCATCCCGTATTTTCTCTCTCTCTCTGTCTCCTTTTTTCTTTCTCTTTTTGTCTCCTTTTCTCTTTCTCTCTCTTTCTCCCCTTCGTTCTCTCTCTCTCTCTCTCTCTCTCTCTCTCTCTCTCTCTCTCTCTCTCTCTCTGTCTTCTTTTTTCTCTCTTTCTGTCTCCTTTTCTCTCTCTCACTTCTCCCTTTCGTTTTCTCTCTTTTTCTACCTTTTGTTTTTTCTCTCTCTCCCTTTTTCTTCTTTTGGTTCTCTCTCTCTCTCTCTCTCTCTCTCTTCACCTTTTCTTCTCTCTCTTTTCTTCCTTTAGTTCTTTTACTCTCTCTCTCACTCTCTCTCTCTGTTGCTCCACTCGATATTGTTTAAAATCACCGAGAGAGCGAAAGAGAGGAAGATAATTTACTCTGGCGGTAGGAGAGAGAGAGAGACACTTTCTCTCTCTCTCTTATTCTGCTCGATACCGACCGTCGTAAAGTGAAATGAGAGCGAGAGAGAAAGAAAAAATTTCGTCTGGCAGTCGGTAACTATTGGTAAGAGAGAGAGAGGGAGAGAAAGAGAATAAGTGAGAGGAAGTAAGAAAGTAGAGAGAGAGAGAGAGAGAGAGTTAGAGCAAGTGAGAGGGACTAAGAAAGTTAGAGAGAGAAAGAGAGCGAGTGAGAGAGGAGGGGAGGGGGTAGTCGCATCGACGAGCGAATGGATAGAGAAGAAGGAAGAGATAAGAGCCGGTGCGTGCCGAAGCGTCTAGGTCCAAGTGAGATAGAATCGGAAACAAAGAGAGATAGTGCTAGTGGGACGAAGAGAGAGTGAGAAAGGACGGCGATAAGAGAGAGAGAGAGAGAAAGAGAGACGAAAAGAGGTGCGTGTGTGAACTCAGCGTCTCATATGCGTGCAAGAAAGGAATGGCATACGGGAGCAGGCTGCGTTTCAAGACCCTTTACCTCTTCTCTTTACGCCCTCCCCCCTCTCACTCACTCTCTCTCTCCCTCCTTCCTCTCTTTATCTTCCATACACTGTCTACCTGGTGTGCCACAGAAAACATCTCATATATAGATTACACTTTATCGTTCCACCGATTAGAGAAAACAGTTGCACTCGATTTTTCCCATCGTTGAATGGGAAAAAAAATTACTCCCCACTCAAAATAGTAGAGGAAAATAATTTTTTTTTACGAAAAAGTAAGAAAAATTACCGTCTGGAGAAGGATAATTGAGAAAAAGAGGCAAAAGAAAGTGAAAAATGAGAAGAAAAAGAAAAAAAATCGAAATTGCAAGTTTGGCTGTGAGGTTTAAGGCACCGAACATTAGTACATTGGACTACGGTTCGAATCTTGGGAGAATTTTTTTTTTTTTATCAAAGTGACGAGTCAATTGATTTGAGACAGATTCGCTTTATTTTTCCATCACTGAATATAGAGAAAAATTATTTTCCATTTATATTTTTCAAAACTGTAGGGGAGAGAATACTTTCTGTTAAATTTTTTAGAAAAAAGTCAGAAAATTAATCGAAAGAATCGTTTGGAAAAGAATAATTGAGAAAAAGAAGCAAAAAAATGTGTTTTATTTAAGGAAAATGCGAAGAAAGAGAAAAAAAAGAAGATTGCA